CAGTTCCATGATTCCTCACGTTAGCTCTGTCAATCAGTGACTCTACAGAGCTTATAGGCTTTCTTCATCGAACTCATTGAGCTTACCTTCTAGCTAATAGCGAAAGATGCCTGCAACCTTCAGAATCATAGACCACTTTTCCAACAGACACTTTTACAAGGTGCTGATCGATCGACTCTTCATGAATTGATTCAAAAATTTGATTGCTGTATTTCCTTAGTGTAAGGACATTCCAAACGTTAGGCTTCCCCAAAAGAATTAGATCTGCTCCTATGTTAAGATGTTGCCTTCTCAAATGAAAAACTAGTAACAGGATCGAATTCTCATTCCTGATCGTGGCAAAATGGTATAGTCGAGCCTTAGTCCTCTAATTCGAAAGTGTGCATTAAGATTGATTCGGAAGTGTGCAATAAGTATTGGGTAGTCCGGAAAGTCTCCGCCGATTTTTGAGTCAACTTCGAGTGAAAATTTCTAGAAGAACAAATCCATCCACCAAACAATTTATCTTCCATTCTGTTCAGTGATGGCTCACCAATTTCTCGTAGGTTTAATCATCTCTTTTTCATAGAAGGATCTACATAGACTTACAGTCGAATAACTCTTTCGGGTTATCTTTGCGGTCCTCCAGCAGATTAGACAGTTTTGCACATCCTGCAGAAAGCTCAACAAGTACTAGTCTGATGGTGCTATTTCCGGACTATATGGGGGTGTGGTAAGACATTCCAACCAAGCTATCTTTTAAGTGACCATCGGTATTAACATTATATTGTACATTTATTTCTTAATGGTACCCACCTCAATGCTTGGGTAACTTANCGCAGCCACATGAAGCGTGTGCGATTCGTCGCTCGAACATAGCAAAGATCAGCACTGTCTGAAAGGTGAGGAAAGGATGTGTACAGCACTGTACAAAATGCACAACAGCGAGGTGATCATTATTCCAAAAAGAGAACACATGCATTGAAGATCGTGCTCTTTTGCTGGTGGAACGGGAGAGTACCTATCATTGTGAGCTGTTACTACGAGCCCTTCTTAAAGATACTGTACTCAGTTGTACGATTTGAAGGTAGCAATGTAAGAGAGGCATCCAGACGTAGCCAATCGTAGAGATGGATTCTTTCATCAGGGCAACGTCGGACCGCACGTATCTTTGCCCATTCGTCAAAAATTTCTAGAGTTCGTGATGTCTTACTAGACCCACCATACAGTTTAGATATAGCACCACAAGACTATCATTTGTTCAGATGTCTGTGGAATACTTTTCATGGTTAATCACTCTCTGAGGGACTCAAAATGCACCTAGAACAGCTTTTTGATTCTTAGATTCTTAGTCTGGAACTTTCTACGGAAGTGTTACGATGAGAGTTCTAGAAAGATGGCGAACTATTATAAAGCAAAATGTAGTATACACTGAACGGCTTTATCCTCAGGATTTTTTTACCATGGTCAACTTCAAGAAGTTTCCGTGGGAGTTTTCCGAACAACCCAAAATATGTGTAGTAGGGTTTCCTGCTGTTTGTGGTCACATCTTCGGCTGCTACTCATGATCGTGGTGGCGTTTAAAATGAGAGACTTTTCTTGCCATCACGATCCTAACTTCTCCGCTTCCACAAGTCACAGCACCTTTCAAAAGCAACTCTCATTGTAGAAGAATTAGCAATCAATTGGTGGAATGACGGGCGCCACTCTCGACGGAGCGGAGATTGTTTCGAGCCTTACATGTGGTAGGAAATGGCCCGACTTNCCTGATGTTGTATCATAAAATATCACTAGCTATTGGCTTCGGATAGTTCGGAATCTGTGCGATAAATATCAATTAGGTCCAGCATTCAACAACAATAATGTTCACAGGAGCTACAGCATTATCACTCATGTTCACAGGGTTACTGCATACGTATTCCGTACTACTTGTTTAGGTACGACACTTGGCTCCATGTCGATGCAGCGTATGCTGGAAGTACCTTCATCGATACAAAATTCCGTGAAGTAGCGTTAGTATAGCTTCACTATCAAAACCGCTACTGCAGCTCTGTCTGCTTCGCCCTCGAAGAGGGTATTGGTTAGACTTGGGTGTATTAAGAATGGCTGGCCGTTTTGGAAGGCGATTGAGCATTTGTACATTACATGAAGCGAGCACAATAAGAGAGTATTCGCTGTCTACAAGCCTCTTCGTCCACATGAAATCAATAATCGTGCCTTAAGTATAAGATTAGAATAGAAACGGTTAGAAGACCTGTGTTCATGTAAGAACTGCGCACCAGAATTTTTCAGGGAAGGAATAGAGAGCGCACATACAATCAACGTAAATTTGAGCAAGTTTCTGCTTCACTCTGCAACACTGTCCATAATCTGGACAAGAGAGCAGAAGATTTATAAGGATGCATTCTCCATCACTCCGATGTACCTCAAACCTTCACACGGTATGCGGTTGAAATCTTTTATTGGTAGTGAGACTGCTGTTTTATCACGAAATAACGACGAATCATGACAATCATAGTATTTACATATCTTCAAATGTTTTCGAGACGATTTCAATTCTATTGATTTGCAGCCAGTTCGACAGATCTAAGAGACTGGGGGCTCCATCTGAGCCGACGATTCAAAGCTTTGAAAGTTTGGTTCATCATGCGTATGTGTGGTGTGGAGGGTCTGCGACGTCACGTTAATAGGGTCTGCATGAAGCTGGCTTCTGAATACATGCTCCTGAACGTTGAGTGCTGTGAAAATGACTTGTCATTCAGATATGTGACATGGCCAGCTACTTTGAATCGTTGATCGATCAACATCCTAACCTGCAAATCTTTACTACAAGGAACTTTGGTTTATTCACGTTCCAATACAGTGTTAGTACCAAATTTCAAGTAACTTCTGCATTTATTCTTGGACTTTTCAATATTATGCAGTATCCTACTTTGAACTAGATGAATATAATAGTATTTATTATGCGTTATATATTGGCAGTTGAGCTTCGCATATCAAATGGGGCGTCACAGCTGAGGACGCGTCAAACAGAGGTGAATTCTTCCATCTGAGCTACACCACTCGAGAATCTGGTTATAGATGTGGTGCATCTGGGATCGACGTCCTTTTGTCCTCACATGTGCTCTGTTAATCGTGCCCGAGTTCCCAGCCATACCAAATTTCACGCGACTTCATCAGGTTATATTAAATTTCGAGATAGTTAGACGGGCAGAGATTCATTCCTAATATCTAGTAAGTGTGATGGTCTCATAAGTGATAGCTGATGATGACTTCATATATAGAACGATTTTGGAGCGACAAAGGCGTCTTCATACAGAATTGTAAGTTTTTGATCAGAGATCAACGCGCCTCATTACAAATCCAGTAGACCTTGGAGGTTTGACCACGTCTTCTCTATAACCGCTAACCACTGTTTACCCACGTCAAGGGAGGGTTTTGTACGGAGCTGTACATTTTTAATCTTAACCTCGCCCGCTTAAGGATTTGACCACCTCCAAGCACTTTTTTCTCGCATTTAGGGCGTATCTGAACAGAGCTGTGAATTATCAATCATAGCTCTGCCGACCCCTAAAGAGCTACGCTCGCTTTGGAGGTTTGGCCACCTGTCTTCTACAACCTATCACCATTTTTCCGCATTCTGGAATGTTTTTTGAACACAGTTGCGAATATTTTTGTTTCAAAAATCAGCTCCCATTTTAACGCTCGCACCGCCCGTCACGGGCGGAGCTTCGCTAAGTTTGTGCATACCCAGCTCGCACTGGGCATCGCTCACTCGTTTTTTCTGACATCCATTTCTGACACTGTTAGATTGTCTGAGATTGACCCGAATCTCCAGATGCCCTTCCATGTGATATAGAATTTCGTTAGAGACAAACGAACAAACTAACAGACACACGAGAGCGCGTCATGCATCAAGAACGCACCCAGAACGCCAATAGGATTTTGTATTAAAGTTTGATGCTGACTCCCATCCCAAAGACGAGATTTTTCAACGTTAAAAGGTTTAAAGACTATTAAATGTAACATATATTTATCAAGTCTTGTTTTTTACTGAGCTGAATTGCAGCAAAAAGATAAAATCCTTAATTATAGTGCTTAGTGACCCTTTTTAATCGTTGTCAGCGGGCCATTTTTAGCGTCCATTTATCATCTGAACACCACACAGCTCCTTTTCTTTAATGAGTGCAAATAAGATGCTGTTCAAGTTGTTGGGAGAATCAGTATAGATGCTCCTGTTTTTGGCAAGACACTTTTTGCCGCCGAAACATCGGTCATTAAAGAAATATCGGTCACTAAAATTGATAAGTCATTCTGACTGTTAACCTGCCTGCATCCAAACTCGTCGCTTGTGACGTTTGGGCTCAGCGTGGAAGTGCAGCAACTGCCATCTGGAATTCTTCTGCATCTGTGATACACTGAAGTACCTATACATGCAACTCTCCACTCTCTGACCCTTCTCAGCTCATTTTACACAGTTCGGTCAACAGTGCCGGTGGAAACCTGTTCTCGCGAGGAACTTCGACAATAGTCCATTCTCTGAGCTACGGCGTTAGACCAGATGACGCGCTGGCGTATCAGCTCAAGAGTCTTCGAAGAGAGACGTCTCTTAACGTCTTCTAGGTTCTAAGTTTTTCTGTCACTATCATGAAGAGTCGGTTGTATTTTCCCTCAGACTCGCAAGTGAACCGAAGTGATCCCAGTTGACTACAATCTCGGAGCTTCGTTTCCTGATCTTCGCAGCTCTCTCTCCGCGCACTGGAGGGTGAAGGAGACGATGGCCTAATCCCTCGTGGAGCTCCGGCATAACAGCGACGTCAGTCAAGATGAACTTTCGAATGAAGATAATGGGATTTATTTTACTATGGGTCTATCCGTGATAATTGAGTCCATCGCAGCCAAGTGGCTTCTGAAACTACGAATCACTGGAGATGGTGGGTCGATATGATAAACTCGGACAGCCTTTCACCCTGTGTATTCCATTCCGTTCCGTGAGTTTCGATAGAGCTCTTCTGCTGTTCTATTGGGGATCCGACGATGGCCTTTGATGAAGCAATCATCTTTGAAGAGCCTCTTCAGATTCGTATGAAATGCTTAGAGGTCTTCTTCTGTGTAGGTCGATGTTGCTGCTTAGACAACGAAGGCTGTTAGAGCTGGGGTTGAGCCACAACTTCTCAATCGCAAACGTCCGATTTCGGTTGTCTAGCTGCGGTACGAATCGACGTTCACAGCCAGTATTGACGAGGACTCTTATGCCGCCGACGTTTCCTTTTTCGCAGTTCCCAAAGACTTTCATTCTTCAAGTTCGAAAATGGCGTGCAACAGGCGGTGTCCTCTCTTCTTAGGACATGATGTTCCTGACATGCATCATCAAATCTCCGATACACGCTTCCAATACAAGCCTTGGTGGGTAGAAAGCACAGTTCGCCTTCTTAGCCTTTCTTGTTTTAAGGAGCCTGTTATGACCCTGAGATTTCAGCAAAGTGAGGGATAGATTAGATTTTTTCACTGGACAATTGCTGCCAAGATTCAGGTTAAGGATCAGAAATTTTGATAATCTACGGGCGTACGCGCAGCTTATCGAATTTTCGTGCGCGCTTATTTGGAAGACTTTTCCTTCAGCATTATTGTGATCAGAGTACGGTCCTCGCCCAAAAGAAGCATGAAGGGTCACCCTGCATTCTCACTTGCATTGTATTAGGATATACTAATGTCATGACCCTATTTCCTGACAGTTTCAGATTGATCGATTCTTGATCGACACCAACGATTTGCTACGTGGTAGGCTAGTGGGTTGGTTCAATCACGATGTTAATTCTATACGAGAATCTTCAAGCCATCATCCTCTCTAGAGGCTGCGCGGCCCTGAATGATTTCCGTTCCAAGCATCAAGAACGCTTCGAGGGTTGACACCATCCACTTCCATCAGCACTGTCAAATGCTTGTTCGTTCGCCTTGAAGGAGGTGACGCAGAGTCAGAAAGCAAGTCTCGGTTGGGACGCTTTCACGCTGTGAAAGACTCGACCCTTTCAACCCTGTCAACGATGATCCAGGGTTAGCAGCCGCGGTTTCGCGACGGGACTCAGGACTCGATGGATCCCTCATGTATAATGGAAGGCGCGCGATTCACCAGGGTATCCATTTTTTGATCTCTCCTTCTCCGGTCGCACCGGAAGGAGTTTCTGAAAGAGTTGTTCGCTGTATATGAGAGCTCGTTTTTCTACGATGCTAATACGCGTCGTGCCTCGCAGTCACCCCGAGAAGAGGACCCATCGAAGCGAAAAGTGAGAAATCTCACCTGAACTCCGTGAGGTACCTTCTCCACCGCTACTGAAACTCCTACATAACCTTCCCACTCAACAGGCTTTAAAAAAGGAAATTTTGTTTCCAACCTTGGAGGACCAGTTGAATTTAACACAGAGCAAATGAACTGTTATAATCATGCACAATTCACAGTCGGTAATGGGCACATATGAGTTTGGCTTACTGTTGCAGTGATTTGTCCTTCTGCACTTGGTACCAGAGCAAAATTCTAGATCAGCTCGGCGCTGTCTTGATGACTAGGTAGTGCCGAACTCGTCTAGAGCTTTAGTAGTCTGTTATACATGGAAAAAGGTGAAGCTCCAACATCTAGTTCCACTTGATCGTTCACTACACAAATTCAATCACACTCTTCATACATGTACTTATCGAACGCTTTAGTACAATAAAGGCGAATAATCCTAGTGTAATCATTATAAATGAGTAAACTACAAACTTGGGAGAAATAAGCTGTTCACTTCCGCTATATTCTTATAAAACGGAATTTTCGATTGTTAGGAGCGGCTTGAAAGTTGTTGTGTCGTCGAACAGCGATTATAAGACGATTTATTGCAGTGAGTTGTAGAACGAATACTAGTAACAATAGGGCCTTATATACCGTCCAAAAGGGGCGGTACGATCAGTGGTCATACTCCGATCTGAGGTACCATGATCACCTACAAGGTGCTTGACCCGCAGGGCGAGATCAAGACAGGGTCAAAGCCAGGGATCCAACACCTCCCTCCCAAGACGAATACCATCGGTGTAAGTCTTCTTCTTGGGATTGACTTGGAGTCGCACTGGAGGGCGTCTTGATCGCGATCGTCGAGGACTGGCAGTTGGCACGACGGCGGATGGCGTTGGTGAACTGTCCTCGTTTGTCCCAGCGCTTTGGTCCCGTGTCGGAGTATCATTTGTATTGCATGGCAAGAGCGGTAGGTCGAACTGATCATTGAGCGTGGTATGAGCTGTGTCTGATCCTGGGCGCAGCTGATTCGCTTGCCTTCTCCAGAGTTGATCATCGACCTGAACATCGTATATACATTGTCCGTGGCGAAATCTTACCCGTCCTTTGATCCATCTTGGGTACCCGGCGCGGTAGTCACGAGTCCAAACGATGTCATCGGGCTTGAACGTCCTTTGGTGAGCTCCATGATGTCGATTGAATTGAGCTTCCATCTTTGGATTCCTTCTGTGTTCCAGGCTTGCTTCACGAGGTTGGAGCAGTGTGAGCGTTGAGNGAAACATTCAAATCGACGGCGAAATAAGGTTTTCGCCGATCCGAACTGGCGTTCCAGCACCTCCAGAACTTCATTCCATGAAAGCTCAGACGGTTGTTTAGGAGCAATAGCTGCAGTCAGCATTTGATGACAATCCTCGTCTAGGCGTGAGACGAGTAGTCGGGTTTTGTCCTTCTCTTCGAGATCGTCGCACTCGTTGTCGAATAAGTCTTGGTATCTTCTGAGCCATATATCGAAGGTTCGACCTCGGTCTGGATCATAGAT